AGCAAGCTTAGTTTACATTACTAAAAATCACGAATATGACAGAATACACCAACATCTTTTTGTTTCATCATCGCTATCTGTATCTCTAGGCAGGATGGCACTAAGTGAGCATGCGCAATACTATTACGAGAGGTCACAATTTTCTCCTTATCCAGGGTGACACGCCAGGAATCTTCTCGCCCGCCCACCGCGACGTTTAAAGACGTCCGGACACTCCAAAATCTTGGGGATTATCGCGACATTGCGTTTATGAAACATATTTGAATGTAATTTCCTTTAAAACCCCCAAAGAGGCTTTTAGGACCGACTAGACTAGCCGACTAAAATCCTATTAACGTCATTTACAGATTCTAATCAGAAATGGTCCTGGAAATTTATTTAGGTAGTCTTAACTCGAATAGTCGAGGGTGAAATATTTTGTCCCATTAGTTCCCTCGAGTAGAATTGTCCGTATTTCGGTATTCCCACATTGGTACGTGGCACTACCTAGAAAAACAAAATACCAGAACGAAATGGAAATATACTGAACAATGTGACATATCGACTGAACTGACAACAGTTAAGACTTCGACGAGACCGGAAACCCCACAAGAAAAACCTCTGACAACCAGGATATCATTTAAAGACTTCAAAGGTGACTTGAACCGTATGTCAAACTTGCGTTCTCGTGTTCAGTAATTGCGGACAAATTCGGAGTGTTGATGTGTTCAAGGATCGTATGTTTGCCAGTTTCAGTTCTTCAATTATGATTTCATTGACAAAATATNGGAATCTTCTCGCCCGCCCACCGCGACGTTTAAAGACGTCCGGACACTCCAAAATCTTGGGGATTATCGCGACATTGCGTTTATGAAACATATTTGAATGTAATTTCCTTTAAAACCCCCCAAAGAGGCTTTTAGTACTGACTAGACCAACCGACTAAAATCCTATTAACGTCTTTTACAGATTCTAATCAGAAATGGCCCTGGAAATTTATTTAGGTAGTCTTAACTCGAATAGTCGAGGGTGAAATATTTTGCCCCATTAGTTCCCTCGAGTAGAATTGTCCGTATTTCGGTATTCCCACATTGCTACATGGCACTACCTAGAAAAAAAAAATAACAGAACGAAATGGAAATATACTGAACAATGTGACATATCGACTGAACTGACAACAGTTTAGACTTCAACGAGACCGGAAACCTCTGACAACCAGGATATCATTTAAAGACTTCAAAGGCGACTTGAACCGTAAGTCAAACTTGCGTTCTCGTGTTCAGTAATTGCGGACAAATTCGGAATGTTGATGTGTTCAAGGATCGTATGTTTGCCAGTTTCAGTTCTTCAATTATGATTTCATTGACAAAATATCTTCATATCTTTTCTGTACAAAGTATCATTTCGGTGGCCTTCAGTCCCAAGGGTATTAGACGCCCTCATCAATGACGAATTGCACTTTACTCTTTTTAAAAAGTCTCCCACTAAAATGCCATGTTTAGAACAGTGCTTGTCAGATTCAATTTCATAGCTCCTCCAGATTCTCTTCCATCCAAGGCAATTGCAAAGAACTAATATAAGTGTTTTTTTTTTTTT